CAAATTTATGAATTAAATTGCGGGAGAAAAATTTGAAAAAAAATCATGAATATTCAGCGTCAATGTTAAAATTACATTTTGCACAGAATTATAATTTTTTTAGGCATCAAATCGATTCCTGTAAAATTCTGAATATGAATAAATTTGTTACGATTCCGAACAAATGATTTTTCTGATGCAAAATTGATCGTTTATAAATTATACAAACAAATACGAGTATTTGCGCAAATACTCGTCATTTTAAAAAATTTGCAATTTTTAAATTTGTGATCAATCTTCCTTCAAAGGAAACTTTTGATTTCTTCTTCTGATTTTTAAGATATTTTGTAACGGTTCAATTTCGAGATTAAAATTCTGAGCGGAAAAGTTTAAATAATAAAATTATTGTAAAATATCCGGAAATTTTACGTCAAATGGGGCTCAAATGAAAGCTCTGATATTCAATTACAAAATTTGATAAGCGTTTCATGTTGAATTAAATTCAAACTCATGATATCAAGAATTCGGATGACAGCCTGATTTCACAGTTCGAAAATTCACTTTTTTCTCATAAAAAAATTATATTCGTCTTTGGGAGGTACACAATCTCTTGACGAAATTTTTTTTCACACCGTAAGATATTTTTCGTGTTAATTTTCGAGCCATGAGTTTCTGGCCACAAGACGTAATTCTCAAAAAACTTTTTTCTCATGCGAAATATCTGCAGTGAAAATGTTTGAGGGAGAAGATTAGGCTTCCGGGGCGACGACCGCGGGAGAGATAACAGTTTTTTTATCATCAGTTGTAGAGAAAAATCCCCAGTTGATGCAATTAATTGAAATACCTTTGAAATTCATTCGTTTAATTTTTTTCATTCATGAGAAAAGTTACAAATTTTTTCACGATGTCGAAATAATATTTTTGCCTGTAAATGTAGATCTCAAATACCAGTTTTTCGCTCCTCAGGACAAAAAAATCCATTTTCATTCCCAGTATTTGATAACCGCCTCATTTCCACAATAATCTGCAGAAAAAAAAATTAAATTCGCAAAACACGACGTTAATTGACTATTAACATTAATTTGGTTGTTGTACAAAAATTTTTTATTCAAAAGAATGATAAAAATACATTTTTCCGTTATTTTTCATAATTTAAAAATGATGAAAAATAAAAATACAAACAAAAAATCAAAATCAAAATGAATTTTTTGATTTTCTTCATTTTTCATTATTCAGAAACGCAATTTTTTCACTACCTCAATCGTCAAAAAAAGACAAACAAAAAAACAATAAAAATAGAAATCAAAATCAAAACAAAAATTTCCCTCCAACGAATTCCATAAATTTCATCTTCACTCGCAAAAAAAAGAAATATTCCAGACAATCCCTCCGATTTTCCCCTCTCCAAAAATCATTTTGTTGTCACAACCCAGACAGCATGGAAATTCTTTTTAATTTTGTTCCTCACAAAAACTCGTTTACCACATGTACCATTCTCTCAATATTCCCATGATAGTTGTACCACGTAACGTCGCACAGACGGTCAAAGTAAAAACCCCTGAAAAAAAAAACTGCATACGAAGAAGAAACGAAGGATGCGGAAAAAGTACATACAACATATTCGGTAGTAACACGAAACGCAGTGCATTGCATCGAGTATAAAATTCAGACGAGTTTTTTCGAGGGCGGGGGGGACAGCTGTACACCGCGTTTCTTTATCACGTACGAAGGTTTTGAAGGGGTCTCTCCTGCGCGCCCCCTCTCTCTCATTCCTCTCTTTTCTGAGTCTTTCGGATGGTCCCCCCGAGGGGTACGAGCCCTCCTACCCGCCGGAAGCGCGTCGGATCTTTTAAATTCTTTACATATGCCCTCTTACCCGACACCTGTTGCCGATTTTTTCATCCACCAGTCATGATTTCCCAGATATTCTTGAGGATATCCAAGTATTAACAGTTTGGTACAGGCCACGCTATAGATTCAGTCATTTTCAATCATCAAATTTGTCAATTAAATTGAGTGAGAAAAATTTGAAAAGAATCATGAATATTCAACGCCATTCAAATTACATTTTGCCCTGAATTATTATTTTTTATAGAAAATGCTCGTCATGTTAAAAAATTGCAATTTTTTAATTATTTCATCAACCTTTCTCCAACAGTAAACGTTCTAATTTATTTCAGATTTTTAAAATGTTTTCTGACGGTTCAATATTGAGATTCAAATGCAGATTTACAACATTTAAATAATATAATTATTGTAAAATTTCCGGAATCATAGGGTCAAATGGGGCAAAAATTCAGCCATTTTCAATCATCAAATTTGTCATCATCTGCTTCTATAGAATATAATTCCTGGTTACCTATCATTTTATTAAATTCAATGAAATTTCTTCTTAATCAATTGCGTTATATTTTTCATTTAGTTCACTGGATGAAATTTCAAGTATGAAATAACATATATTATAAAAATCCAAATTCAATTATGCAAAAATGGTCTTTTTGCATAATAATAGGTTGACATAACCCGAAAAATCCGGAACTTAAATTCCACCAATTACAATGCCTCCACTCGAAACCAATCGCCAAAGTACTAGGACATCCTTAATTTCCCCGGAAATTGCCACGGACTTGACTTTTTATATTTATCACCCCACCCCCCACCACCCGGAACAATTGATTCTCTTCCGCGCATTGTGCCTTTGCATCACAGTAACCCACATTTTTCCAGAGCACTGGAAATTTCATTTCACTCCCCAACCCCCTTTTCCTCATATTTTTCCAAACGACGGGACAAAAGAAATTCAGCCGAACGATCCGCCACAGAGTGCTTTGACCACAGTCCGAAAACAAGTTGAATAAAGAACGAGAGGGAGAGGGCGAGTGAAAACAAAGACAGAAGTGAAGAAGTGCATCGAACAGAGCTTGGGGGCCATCAGCGAGAGCACGTACCCCGTTTGAATTTCAGCCTCCCACGACAATGCACTCCGTTCAGCGAAAAAAAAAAATATATCCAGCAAAAATGTGCATTGTGCCGCAATCGGGTGAACAGACCGTGCGAATTACATTTCCCCTCGCCAAAAAATATAACGGAATAAACAAGTGGGAAATTGCTGTTGTATTGCATACAGTAGTTATTTCGCACACAATTTCCTTCTATCATGTATAATTCATTGTTCATTTCATTTAATTAAATTGAATGAGATTTCTTTCACCTAATTTTGTCAGATTTTCAACTTAGCTGAATGTTATCATCATCATTATTCTTATTCTCCCTTTCTTCTGTCCAACCGATGTCTTTTTTGCGGTTCTATCTCTCCCCTCAGCCCTTCGATAAAATGTTAATAGAAAAATTTTATTTACACATACTTCAATGAATTTGAAAAATTACCTCTGAAGAAACCATCGGAAAGCCGACTTTCAGGGAAATTCATGAAAAATTCTAAATTTTCAACAATCATCATAAAAATAAAATCAACCAATACAGCTATCGTAATCATCATTTAACTTCGACTTAATGGCATTAAAACAAACATTTTAAGTTACGATTGAATTCATTAGAAGCATAATATTCAAAGATATCCCTGGAATTCTGATTTTCAAAAAATACCAAATTTTTGCAAATTTTCAAATAAATCAAAATAACGATTATTGCTATCGCTTTCATCTCCGAACTCGGTCATCACCCAATCAATTGAGAACATAAAAAAATCAAAAATTGAAAAACTAATCGATCAATTAAATTTAAAATAACGGCGATCGATAGGGCTCAACAATACCAACATTTGAACGAAAAGATTCAATTCCCTCCATTCTTACCGAGCAATTGGCGAAAAACTTAGTTCCAAACATCCACAAAAAATCCAAAACTCGAATAAACTTTAACCAATTAAAAGCTTCCATTCGCCTAATTATCTCGAGAACGCGAATATTCCTCTCGATCAGCCGCAATTTTTCGATGAAAACGAGTGGGAACTTTGGAGTTTTATATTCATAATAATCACACGTAAAGCAGAAAACGTAGAAACAGGTTTCTGCAAAGCGCGCTGGGTCTCGCCAGCGTCGTATCTGCTCACCCCTTCCCAATATCTTTCACTCTCTCCTCCACCTCTCCAACTCCTTTAGCCTCGGCTGTCCTTCTCGGTGTCTGTGTGCGATTCTCTCCCTCCGGTCCGGGGGGCGGGGGGCAGCGGGTGCACCGCACTTCCAGACGAAGTGCCAGGGCCGTACCCGCCTCCCCGGAGTGTCTCGGATGCTCCAAGCTGTCTGTTACTACTTTCCCACGTCTGAGTTTTCCATTTCCACTCGACAAGTAGATCAGCCCCCGCATAGACCCCACCGACGCCGAAAATTCGCCCCTAAACACCCCCTGAAATGCCGAATCCCCGATTATTTCTGCGCTCGAGGTCAGCCGTCTGCGAAATTCTGCACTTGTGGGTTTTTTCCCCCTCGAGATGAGCATTCTTCGCGTTTTGGACGCGAAAAACCAACTCCCAATGTCACTTTAGGTATTTTAAATCGCACTATGAAATGAGAAAGCATTTTTGCGGCGACTAAAATTTAATCTGCCGTAAATATCGCAAATGTATTTTATTTTCCTCGTGCGAGTGGCACATGGTGGGGCAAAAGGCGGGCTTTTCACCCCCCCAAGTAACTGCACACATGCACCAGAGGTGCTGCAAAATCCTAGGCACACTCCTGGTCCAAAGGCGGGGCTCAGGCCCCTGTGTACGGGGTACCTCCGCGAAAAGAGAGGCAAAACCGTTGAATCGGATTGGATTGGGTAGCAAAATTTTGCGCGTACCCTCCACCCGTTCCCTCAACTATCCCGTTTTCAGGGTTTCTCCTTTACCTCCCCATTTCAACCTCCACCTTATTACGGGGTGTTCTTAGCCGTGTGTATGGCAATGTATTGGTGAAAGTCGCTTGAATGTATGCGAAAAAGCCGGGCAAACTGGTTTTGTTTAGCGGGGGCTTGCACCACTGCACCGTTCACTAGTCGAGACAGTCCAATTTATGCATCACACGGCTATGTAGGCACCACACGAGAGAGGAGTATTATTTTGCCCAAAAAACCATCTTTACCACCGCTGTGCCACCGGACTTTGCGCCACTATCACCTCACTGCAATATACAATCAACAAAGTGCCTGGATTTTCGTTTTTTTTTTCCTTTAAATTAATTTAACTTTTTTGTTTGTTTTGTTATTCGAGTTGACGAACAGTTTCCAAAGTTGACGAAATAGACAAAGTTTAAGTGATATCTTGGTTTATCCTCGGACAAGTGAAGTACAAGTGACTCCGTACGACTTCAGTGATTACGGAAATTCCGTTTGGACAAAACCGCCTTGATAAATCAACCCCTCTTGGACACTGAAACGGTAACAGTTGGGGAGGCATCGAAGAGTGATTATTCTGTTTGGAAAATTATTGTACTGTGAAGTCGGTACGTGCGTCGGTTAATATGTGTCGCATACCGCGGATTATACCGGAGATATCGTGACTATCGTCCTCGTGCATTGCAGTGTGTTGATTGGGTGCTCAGCTCCGTAAAAATAAGGATCTGACTAAATTACAATCAGTTTTTATTTCTTTTCTCGATAAGGAACGAGGAACCGATCGGTGGAAATTAATCATCATTTTAGGCAAAAAATTGAACGCTCAGGTACGGCTATCAGTTGATTATTCATTTTTTTATCGATTACTCGGGGCATCTCCAGCGTTATCTCACTGGCCAGTTGATTTTTTTTGCTCTTCTTCGCGCGCAAATTCGTCCTCCATTAATTTTAGAAACGATGAGACTCCGTCTGGCGATTTTACTCCGTCTCCCTCCAACTTTTTTTCGTCCACCGCATCGTCTGTCTCTCGCTCGCTCGCTCGCGGCTCCTCTTGTCCCCCTGACGCTTGCAATTTTTGCAAGGTTATGTGCAAGTACGTCCGGTCAGCGACACAGGACCGAGTGAATAATCGTTGGTTTTCGCTTTTCGCCCGTTTCTACTCTCTCGCTCACCGTCTGGCCAGCGGCTTACTTACATCCCCGGGGTCTCTTGTTTATCGACGCACACTGCGAAACGAGATGGGAATATTAGCGTACGACTCGAATATTGCATTTTTTTTTCGATTTCTTGAAAATTTTTGAGTCAATTTTGACGAAAATCTCATTTTTTTAAGGTAAAATGGAGTCGGATCCGTTTACCCCTTCGTTAAGTTGGAATTTGCAATTTTTTTTGCATTTTTGGAAAGGATTTTGGGGTCCTGTCAGTGTTGATTTCAATGAAAATCTCATTTTCTAAAGAAAACATTGAATTGAACCGTTTTACCCCTTCATTAAAGTGAAAATTGCAGTTTTTTTATTTTTATGAAGAATTTTGAGGTCATTTCAGAATTAAATTCAACAAAAATCTCATTTTCAAAAAAACTAATTCACTTGATCCGTTTTACCCCTTCGGCAAATTGAAATTTGCAATTTTTTAGAAATTTTCTAAAGAATTTTGGATCATCTCAGGATTAATTTCAACGACAATCTCATTTCCAAAAAACAAATTCACTTGAACCATTTTACCCCTTCGTTAACTTGAAATTTGCAATTTTTGGAATTTTCATAAAGAATTTTGTGGTCACTTCAGAGTCGACTTCACCGAACATCTCATTTTCAAAAAAATGACCGTTTTATCCACCGTGGCAAAGCGGTTCAATTCAAAATTATGAACTTCCCCTAAAAACCGTCTCACCCCTCGCTTTTCCTGAAAATCCCATAATCGAAAAAAAGACTGGACGGTTGTGCCCCAGCGGCTTCCCTGCGGAATGCATTTTAATGTTTCTCTCCTTTCAATCGGCATTTTTAGCCGAGAGATAACCGGAGCCACCACTCGGACGCGATCGAGCGTGCACCATCCGCTCTCCCATTGGCAATAATCACAAGAGCAGAAACAATCGTCGAGTTCCCTTTTTCAATTACCTCAAACAATAAAATCCATCATTTCGTGTATTTTATTCCCATCGAGTCATTCCCCACATTCCCCTCTCAAATTTATCTCCCACAAATAAATCCTCAACTGATTCTCTCCCAGCAGCGCAGCCGAGTCCAAAACCTCCTAAAAAAAATTGTAAGGCTGAAAGAAGTGCATAAAGCCGGTGTCGACTCGAGCATTGAGACCAATTCGCGCAGGGGGTTGCGCGGGGGGAATCCGAAGAAAGAGAGCCCCAAAACCGCGACATGCAATACATGCGGCGAAAATTTGGCCTCGAGTGCATCGGACTGGCGGCGGTTCGTTGTTCTCACTCGAGGACGCTGGTGCATGTGTTGGACCGTGAGGTTTAATCTCCCCCCTCTCATTCCCGCCGTTCCAATCGACGCGTCTCTCTTCCTCTTCCCTCTCTTTTTTCTTATCCCCTTTCTCCTTTCGCTTCATTCCTCCTCTCTTTTTTTAAAACCACGCTGTACGCACGTACTATAGAGCTCCCTGGGCCACTCCGGCCAATGTTTTTTTCCCTTTTTTGCGAGGAGGGGCGCTGACGGAGCAGCAGGCTAACATGAAAATGGCCAACCGGCACCCGACGAGGCCGCTATGCCAGGCGGCTGCTGCGCCGGGGACACAACTCCCCGACTAGGGTGGGGGGCGCGAAGGGGGGAGGGGGAATTTCAACACTTACACATACCCAACCTTCTCTCACTCTATCCTCCTTTAGCCTCTGGGTTCGAGGCGTATCTCTTTGCGCGTCGTTTTGTGGACCCCGTAGTGTTTCGCGATCACGTTTTTGACGTTCAATTACTTCCCCCCGTTCCCGCCGATTCCGAAAGGCGGCGTTGCCGATACAGTTGGTATCCCATGAATAAATAATAAATATTATTTTTTTTGTCTTCCATTTCGCCGAATAGTCCAGCCCTCATTATTTTTTTTTGCAAACGCATGGCGGAGCTTTCGCGAATTCCGCCGGCCGCGCCGGTTCCAAAATCTCATTTCTGTATTTTTTAAAATGGAATTGTGACCCGTGTGGGCGGAAATTTTGGGGAAATTTCCCGCGGGGGGGCGGGCGGCACCGGCCGACCGGTGAAATTCGCGGAGACGCGCAGCGGCAGGTGGAAACGCGCGCGGAAGCGGCGGGGTGGGGGAGGGGGGTCGACCCGCCATCGTGGAACGGAACCGGAGTGCACACGGTGCACAACTGCATTCCACGACGGGGTGGAACACCAGAACGTGGATGCATTCCTAGATTATATTTTTAATCGGGAGGAACCGTATTTCCGGTTTGTTATTTGTTGTTGGGATTTTCGGGGGTGGAATGGGGGAGTGATTGTGAGTTGTTTTGTTCGGGAACGCGGGGTTTATTTTTCTATTTTTATTTTCGGGGAAATTTTCGGGGGTTTGGACCCCCCGCGGGGCGCGAGACCCTTTGTTCCCGTCTCTTTGCGATTGTTTTGGTTCGTCGGGACGTCTGCGGGTGCCTGTGTGCGTGCGTCTGTCGGTCGCGTACGTTACGCGCAATTCGCTCTTTGTCTGGTATTTTTTTGGGGGGTTTCGGGGGGTTTTTCGACAAACGAAGCGCGGGAAAAGTGACGATCGGGAGGGGCAGGGGTGGAGGCATTTTTTGTTATTGTGGGGTGAAGGGGCGGCTTGCGTGTCAACGTGTCGGAGC